AAAAAAATACATATAATGCTATTTATGTTACCATTCTATTTGACATCAGTGAAGAAGAAACTCTGAGAAAGTTTATTCAGCGAACACTATTTCCGGAAAAGGAATGAAGAAATGCTCTTGCTTTTTGTTGGTTTCTGGTAATACCACCAGAACCTAAACATTGAGCAATGAAATTCGAGAGGTTTAGATATTTTGAAAAATTTCCCATTTCTTTTAGCTGGGACAAATTGCTTGATACGTAATTCAATTTTTCATGTGCATAGCAAATACCTTACGATAGGCTGCGAGAATACCTTACAGTAGACTGCGATAATAAAGCAACTAAAAGTCTTCCCTATTGAGTCACCCTTTCATTAATTTTATGAGATATTCGATTCACACTGTTCACAACAAACTTTCCTCTTACCTGACTTGAACACTGTGCTGGCTTATTTCCTTGGAAAATTTGAACAAAATTTTTCAAAGAGCCGCCCATTGTCTCGCAGATATCACAATGAACGCTGAAATAATTGATAATTCTGTGAATGGTGTAGAATGGTAATTAGAACTCCTTTCTCACCATGATCCGATGCCTCCGCATCCATTGCTATCGGCGTTTACGCATCTCTCGGGTTTTCCATGGATACCAATGCGAGTTTCAAGATGAACGTAGTATTTCTTCGATCCGGAGAGGCCAGGAGGAAACACCTAGAAGGAAACAAGCATATCTGCGGTTGTGCACGGACATTACAGCCGCGTCTCGGTAACGACGACAATGTTTATAGGTTTTGATGCGACTGGGCGGTAAGGACATCGATTAACACCGACCTCCACTTTGCCTCCGCTCATTCGGAAGCATTTGTGTCCCTGCGCGTTCGTCTCCTCATGAAACTCCACTCCGGCAGTTTTGTACGAGGGGAACTTGATGAGGAGATTCTCCTTTTTGGGGCCTAAAAGCAGATCACTCAATGCGGTTTATCATTTGGCTAATAGTGGGTCTTTCTGAAAGGCACGTAAGGAGCTGATCGGATCGAAGTATTAGAGCGAATCTGGAATCGTGCGACTTGCAATAGCGGATTCCTGTTTCGAGGTCACACACTCCAATGTTTCGCATCAATGGGTCAACGCGATGCGCTGATTCACAAAAGCAAGAAAGTACCTGTGCAAGGTAGTATATCTATCGAAATTGAGGTCTTGATGCTGTACAACAGCTAGAGGTGGAGGACATTAATCGGATAAAAAGTGTCATG